TAAACTCATAACAAATGTGAAAATATGTGAATTTATGAATCATTTAAAATATATCATTTGTAAAATAAAATTTATATTTAGTAATATGGAAAAAACATTTACATCTTGTCCCTACACCAAATTAAAATCTAATAACTATAAAAAAAATAGTAACGTTAATTAAAAGTCCTATTAATATATGTAAGTATAATTTTTTTTAGAAATTCAGTTATTGCACATTAATTCTTTAGTTATAACATTATAAATTCTCTTAGTTATTACTAATTATTGCAAACGTTATTCACACTATTTTACATTCTTAGTTATAATATTATGAATTCCATATTTATTACATTAATTATTTCTATCTTTCATATTTCTTTATATTAACTTTCGACCAATATTTATTCATATTATTATACCCCCCCTATATATGCGATAACATGGTGTTGTTATTTTTCCCTTTAACGAATCATGCTTGGTTGAATAAATTGAAAATCACTTACAAGTATATGAACTATATCTTTATTGGGTGTAAGATGAAACGGTGATTATATATATGATTTCATAGATAAAATATATTCATTAATATTAATATTTTGTTTTTTCGGTAAAAAAAATGAAACATTTCTTAGTAAACATAGTTGTTCTCTTCACATGTTGATATGGCATCTAAAGAGTTTAATGTGGAATACACATGTAAAGCATCTGGTTAGATGACAACAAAAATACACAACAAATATCGTCTATAAGGTAATATTAGTGAGATGCGACAAATTAAATGATTGAACCTCATCAAATTGCAACACATATATACATTATTGCATTTAACTAATAATTTTTTTACTGACCATCTTCATAGGTTCGCGTGAATAAGAGATGTATATATGACAATCCACATTGAACATTCGCAAATGAATCTGCAATATTATTTTGTACTAAGCTTATTATTCAAATCTTTACTTAAATAAGCATACTATTTAATACAACATACATTTTCTTAATTGGTAATCACGTGCAACGCACGTATCAAAAAACTAGTATATATATACACAAGCACCAATACGAAAAATAAGCCTACTATTGGATGACATTGTAATATATGGAAGAGATGAAAATAGGAGAAAGTTGAGGATGATGATGATTTAACTTGATATATAATTATATCAAATTAAAATACTTAATAGTGTATCGATGACAATTCAATAAGCCTTTTTTTTCAATGAAAAGTTAACGCTTCTTCTAGATAGTTTCTATACAATATTTTAAATACTAAATCATGCAATTTACTCCAACTTTTCCCCTATCAAATAGTATATATAATTAATATTAAATGAATTGGAAATTTTATAACATTTTAATTTAGTTAAGGAGTAAAATGGTAATTAAACTTTGCATTTTGGAGCTCCTCACTCTTTATATAAAATGATACGTTATGTGAATGCTGAAATAATGTACAAGTGAAACTTTTGGTGTGTGTTGAGTTCTGTAATTGAATTGAATCATGTTAAGTGTATTAATTTTATTTTGTTCATGTTAAGTTCAGGCCCAAATTAATAATAAATAATAAATTTATAGTTATTTTTTTAAAAGAACTCTACTTTTTTTGTTTTCATTTTTGTTTTTGTTTTAATAAAATGAATTTGACATTTTGTAAGGACTTAAATACAAAATAATATCCAAAAGTTGGTAACTAATGTATAAAAATAAATAAATTTTATTTTTAATATCGATTACTTGATGCATGTTCAAGATTAAGTCCCAACCTGGCTCTATAAATTGGTCCCCCTTTCACCCCTAAGGTTTTTAGGAAATTGTCTACATTTTTCCTCCGCCACCGATTGTGGTAACATAAGAATCGGATAAGGAGGTAGAAATCATTTTTCAACTAAAGCTTCCACTCTCTTCACGATAATGTCTTTAGGTATGTTATTTTTCTATATCTTCAATTAGAATAAACAAATAAGAAAATTCATGTAAAGACTACAAAAAAATGGATATCCTTCCTTATAAATATAGCAGTAGTAATAATAAGAAAAACAAATAGTATTTCCAAAAGTTATGATTCTGCTAGATCCATCTCATAACTGATAATAAATCACGCTTTGTAACACCTCGGAATTTTGAAAAATAAAGAAAAGATGTTTTTGGGTTGTAGGTTGTGTCTATGGTTCCCATCTACTAACCGTACAAGCTTTTAAAGGCCATAGATGGAAACCGTACAAATAAGAAAAATAAATTTTCAAATAAAGTCCCAGTATCCCTTTTTATGGTTCACTAGGATGGCATGTAATCCTATGTACGAGCCATAGATAGGTCTCATAAGAAGGTCCCTGACTTAGTGATATTTTAAGGTCTAAATTTGGTTCACATGGTTGGTGTCTATGGTTTGTAGGAAGACCTACGAGCTGTAGACAGGTCCATCAAAAGTTGGTTCAAAATAAGGTTTCTGAACTTTTCTACGGTTGACCAGTACGGTACGTAGAAAGTCCTATGGACCGTAGGTCCAAACTGTAGAGAGGGTTCAACATATATTATTCAAGGGCTTTTGGTTATTTTCCCTAATTGTCTTAAATCAAAACCATGTACATTTTGTCTTCTACTCTAAGTCATATATAAGGTTTTTAGGACTTAAAACTACCCATTTCAACCCCATTCTTCTAATTTCCCTAAACCTAGCCAAATTCATCCTCCCCAAATTCCCTCAACCTAAGGAAGAAGAAGAAGAGCTAGGGTTCCATTCAAGTCTCCAATTCACCATCTTTCTTGGGCTTTGTATAGAAAGTTATGTGGGTACATGAAATCCATTCTTCCATGGGGTCCCCAAATGTTCCAATTTCTAAATCTCAAATTCAATTGTTTGAGTTAGGGTTTCTATTCAATCTTTGTGAGTTTCATCCAATTATGATTGATTATTGTTGATTAATTCTTCTAATGCATGATATAATTTTAATACTTGATATTTTCTTGAAAATACATTGACCTATGCCTTAATCTTGTTTTTCAACTATGAACCTATGATGAACCCATGAATCTATGAACTCTGAATTATTAAGATATGCCTCTTTTTTTATGAAATGATTATAAATGATTTAGGGATGCTCTGAAAGGAAAGTAGCAATGCTATTGTAAAAGTATTTCTCCCTCACTATGATGATTATGATCATTAAAAGTATTACTCACATATGGATTCACACTGCTGAAAGGTTTTCTCATCCATGTTGAATTATGTTTAAGGAGTTATTCTATGTTTTAATATTAAAAGTATGTTGATTGGTATTGATCATTGCCTTTTCTATGTTATATTGATATTTGACCTTATTTATTCCATTGGAATTTAGACTTAGCACCGTGAGGGATTTGAAGTGGAGGCTCAAATAGGGTAGTCTCTAGTATCAACCTCTAGTTCCAAACTACGTGTACTCATAGGGTTGTCTTAAATGACCTATCTAGTGGATACACTTTAGCAAATGATGATATGTACGAGTTCTACCTTGGCAAGTAGATTCCCTTTCTTTCAATATGAGGGATATACCTGATTCCTTGATATAGCTAACATGGTTTTATTGCCGGTTAAAGCTAATATCCCAAAAAAATGACTATGTTTGTTCAAAGTTTTCTTATGTCCCTTATGCTAATGTATTTGACTATATTTCATGATTCTCATGTCTTTTCTTCTGTAAGTCCTTAAATGTTAAAAGAATGGTCATGCCTACATGTTTTAAGCCATCAATGATATCATGTCTATGTTTATGCATATTGCCTTATACTTAGTACATTCCATGTACTAATGCATACTTGTGCCTTGGAATATGAGGATTCACCAATCTTCGAAGTCAATGGAATTAACTAGCCACGAGTATGGGAGGTAGGAGCATCGAACCCTACGTTAGTTGAATAAGCTTTAACCATGGAAGACAAGAGTGAAGAACATGTTTCAGCAATAAGAATGTACTCATAATGTTTGTTAGTTGTTCCTCCAACATGCTTCGTCTCCTACTGTAAAAACAGTACAACAACAAGAACATAGTATGCCTTCCTTCTTAATTTTCCTCTATTTTCTTTCTTGTCTCCTCTTCTATGACAACAACTTCTGCATTTTCTTTAATTAAATCATAATCTATAAGCCATGAAAGTATTGTTGCTTGACTCTATTTTTGTCCATTTACTTTCCTTTTTTCTACTTTTTCCTGCTCTTTTCTCCTACCTCACGTATTTCTTTTCTTACTTGAAATAGAAGAATCCTGATTATCCTCTGATGAAAATGATTCATCTTTAGCATGTTGCTCTTTATTCGAGTGGCGATTTCATTTCCTTCTTCTCCCCATTGAATAATTATCAAGCGTTGTGTCATCTTCAGTGAGATAGCCTCTTATGGGGTTAGCCAAAAACTCTTCTTTAGCCTTTATGAGGTAATTTTGCACCATATTGCAAGTCACTCAAGTTATATGAAAATTCTGAACTCCAAGAACTAGAACTGCTTCTCTATTTTCTTGATCTTCCTACCATTTTTTCACGGCAGGCAAAAAATTGATAGAATCACATAGTATATTTATGAGATGGATGAATAGAAGGACGGGAGATCAAGAAAATAACTTCATTATAGTATAGGTCAGATGTTGTTGTGCACAGTAAGAGGCAGATCGGGAAAGTCGGTAGTTTCATGTGAATTCATCTGACCTATACTATGAACAACTTTCCTAATCTGCTGCTTACAATTCACAACAACATCAGACCTATACTATAATCAAGTTGTTTGCTTGATCCCTTGTCCTTATATTCATCCATCTCATAATTATACTATGTGATTACTATCAATTTCTTGCCCGACATGAAAAAATGGCAGGAAGATCAAGAAAACACAGAAGCAGTTCTAGTTCTTGGAGTTCCGAATCTTCATATAACATGAGTGACTTGCAATATGGTGCAAAATTACCTGATAAAAGGATAAAGAAGAGTTTTTGGCTAACCCCATAAGAGGCTATCTCACTGAAGATGACACAACTCTTAATAATTCTTCAATGGGGAGAAGCAGGAAACGAAATCGCCATTCGAAGAAAGAGCAACATGCTAAAGATGAACCAATTTCATCAGAGGATAATCAAGATTCTTCTGTTTCAGGTAAGAAGAAAAATATGCGGGGTAGGAGGAAAAGAGAAGGAAAATGTAGAAAAAGGAAAGTAAATGACCCAAAACAGAGTACAGCAACAATACTTTCATGTCGTTTAGATTGTGATGTAATTCAAGAAAATGCAGAAGTTGTTTTCATAGAAGAGGAGACAAGAAAAAAAATTGGGAAAATTAAGAAGAAAGGCATAATATGGTCTTGTTGTTGTACTGTTTATAAAGTAGGAGACTTCTGTAAGCATGTTGGGGGAACAACTAGCAAACATTATGAGTACATTCTCATTGCTGAAACAAGTTCTTCACTCTTATCTTCCATGGTTAAAGCTTATTTCACTAATGTAGGGTCCGATGCTCCTACCTCCCATACTCATTGCTAGTCAATTTCATTGACTTCGAAGATTGGTAAGTCCTCTTGTTTCAAGGACCGAGATACCTTTACTGCTTTATGTAATCTCCATTTTCAGAATTTGTCTCTAATGTATGGATTACTTTCTTTATGATGTATTTAATGGCTTATTGAGACTTCTGTTAAACTTCCTCTTTGTCAAACTCTTTTGATATAGAAAATGCTATTATTTGAACTCTTTATCTCTATTATCTTGTATGATGTATGCTAAGTGACTTGTCAAGGGCCTCTCGGGGTTCTATAAGACATATTACACCTAGGGTATACTTTGAATCGTTACAGCTTTATCATATAAAAACTAATTTTTCTTATAATTAGTGTCAAATAATGTTTTTTTGATGGTTCAACATTATCGAAGAAGTCAATTCATGCTCATGATGAAAAAAGGTTCAAAAACATGGATATAGCATTAATGTTTAAGTTTTTGAATGATTTCTAAATTTGTCAAGTATGAACAAATAGTTTGTGTATAGGATAAAGAGTTTAGAAATACCTATGTGAGTGTTATGTGTAAGCTGCTTCAGGGATAATGATAGTCAAGACCAATTCTATACGCACTCATGAAATTAGGAGGTTTTCAAGACTAAGACAAACTCAACCTTGAGAACCATAAACGGTTAAGGGTTACTTGTGTGACTTGTATTGTCTAGGTATACAACAGAGTTTTATAGTTCAAATATACCGCATCTACCGATAGATCAAGTGCATCTGGTATGAGTTCACTACGAAAAGTTCAAAGGGAAACCTACTTATCAACATGCAATTAATATTTGTTGGTATCACACATTTGTCCATATGCCTTTTCCTTATAGTCATTCCCCATTCATGTTGGGAATTGCTTAGTTTTAAAAAGTGTGAATGGGAAATGAAGTTTATTTTTAAAAGATTGTGATTTTTCTGATAAGGCACAATAAACACTTGTTCATACTATTCTTTTATTTATAATTATAGGGGTTTCTTTTCATTTTTCAACTACAATTTTTCTGATTTTCTACTCTTTTTCTTCTTCATAAAAACTCAAATGTGATTTGCATTTGTTGAGTGAGTAGTTCGCAGTTCAGCGAAATTTGAAGGGTTGTGACATTTTCGAAGAGTTATAACTTTTCCGATGAGTTGTGACCTTTCTGAGGGGTTGTAACTTTTCTATAGGGTTGTGACTTTTGGAAGAGTTGTGACTTTTCCGAAGAGTTATGACTCTTCCGATGAGTTGTGATCTTTCTAAAGGGTTGTGAGTTTCCTAAAGGTTTGTGACATCTTTTTGATAAGCCACAATAAGCTGTTTTTCATACACTACCCTTTGTTGTCTATAAAAAGAGGGGCTTCCTCAAATTTTTAAACCACATTTTTTTTTAAATATTCATTATTCTTCTTCTTCTTAAAACAGCCTATTTAGTGTATCTTCTATATTTTTATGAGAAGGAACAATATGCACATACTAATTCTACACGTTTTAACTATAAATGGAGGGGTTTCCTCACATTTTTTAAACTATGTTTTTTTTTTAATATTTTCTATTCTTCTTTTCTTAAAACCTCAAGATTGATTTACCGACGTTGACAATATCAAAGGTCAGTGAAATTAGAACACTCCCGAACATGAATGTTGAATTAATCTAATACTCCAACTAAAAAACATCAAATTTAGTATATCTTTTATATTTTATAATAATATTTATATTATATTATATTAAAAGTAAGAACCCCAACAATAAAATAATAACAAAGTCATGCACTATAGAGAAGGGAGGAGAAAGTATATTTAAGAGGTGTAACTAAGATATTTTAAGAGTGACTATTTTTTAAAATAATATTCATGTTATTTTTAGAAATAGTGTGGTACATGGTTTGATATTCACGTGCAATGCACGTGCGTCAAAACTAGTTCATATAAGGAAACCAATAAAATAAAACTTCAATATTATTTCCATCAATGAATATATAAATGATATATATTTTTTGATAAAAAATGGATATATTATATATAGTTAAGCGGAAGTTACATTGTTGCTACTAGTACTAGAGATTACAGATAGATTCCCTAAACGGGCTAACTTATTACATGTAGACCATATTACTAGTTTAGTGGATAGAGCTCCAACTTGGTATATGCTTTGATGAGGCTTGCTTCTACAGCTTCAGGAGGAGTTAACAAAAAGTGTGGCATTTTGGTCATTATTAGCTTGGAACCTAATCTTCAAAAAAACGTTTGCTACTTTTTTAGCTTGGCGAAAGCTATGGTGGACCACTTGAATCGCTAACTTTTTCATAGTTAACCTGCAAATTGCAGTTATACAATTATAAGTTGCTTGAGGATGCTCTAAGTATTCTAAGATGTCAATCATGTCTGTTTCAGTTTCTAGGGGTAGGAGATTATGAGCATCGACCATATTTAGGCCAGTGACAAAAGCTTCCAGCTCTGTCATGATATTACTATGCATGTAGCACCCTTTATAGAATCCCCCAATCCAGTTACCACAGACATCACTTATGAGACCACAAGTTCACGTCTTCTTTTGTTCTTAGAGAAGGAACCATCAGTTTTTATTTTATATTAACCGTTCAGGGGCAGTAACCACTGAATATGAATGGTGGTGGTGGCGATATGGTGAATAAGGGTATGAGTATACTGCATGTGTTATGTGGTTCTGTTCCTTACTACAAATTCCGATGGAAAGGCCGAATCGTCATTATGGATATTATCATTCATGTTTAACAATATATTCCATAATGCAAAGGGAAATCAATCTATCCAGTGGTAAGGGTAGTCAGTGTCTGGAGGTTTCTACCTTTTGAGGGAATGTAATTGTGGTCATATTGGGGAGGTAACTGGGAAATATTAATGCCTAAGGCGTACTAGAATTTTTGAGCTATATTACATTGTACGAAGATGTGGGTAATTGATTCGCTATTGAGGTGACATATAGGACACAAAGGGTCAGTATCGATGCCAATGTAGTGAAGGTAAGCGCTAGTTGGGACTCGATCTTGGGAACACAACCACATGAACATTTTTATTTTCGCCAAAGTGTTGAGTTTTAAGATCCAAGAGAACGGAAAGTAATTAACCAGGTGAGAAGCGTTTTATTTTTTTCTTCGGAAGCTATTAAGCCAAGGCCACCATTTTCTATAGGGGATTTCACTTTTTCCCAAGAAATGTAATGCAGATTTCTCTTGTAGGAAGAAGATCCCCAAATGAAGTCCTGTGGAATTTGGTCAATAGTGTTGCAAGATTTTTTGGGGATGTTAAACTGTTAGTATTAGAATATTTGATGATGCTCACAAACATGCAATCTGGTCCCACAGTTGATCATGTTTATGAAGTCAATTGGTGAATAATGGTAAAAGCCGTCAGTTCTAACACAGTTTGTGGGCACAAGCAACGAGTCAATTGTACTCAACCAATCATAAGACACTAGGTTATATTTTTCAAAGGATAATATATCTTCAGTGACATGAAACAACCTACTCAAAACATTCAAAGAAAACAACAAGTGTAAACTTTGTCTTTGAAGAACTCAAGCTTTCAGCACACACTTGAAGGGACCTGATAGAGTTATCAAGTGCGTGTTTTGGTTGTTTGATACGAAATGCTTGTGATGCGGTAAACTTGTAAGATTTGTTCCAAATGTATAAAGGAACACATTCAGTGTGTGGTAAGTTAACACATGAACATAATTAGAGGTAATTTTGTGGTGTGTGATTGAAGTCTATATTAATTAGAGTTAGTTAATATAGTGGGCAATACATGTATTACTTTGACTGCTATTGTAATAGGGTTATTATAGGTTGGGAGACTAAGAGTTTAATCTTTGTATATGCATTTGGAGCCTGTATTCACTTGTTGCTTGAAAATAGTGAAAACAGTTAAAAAAATCTTGTGACATGTTGTTTTTCTCCCTTGAGCAAGAAGGTTTTCACATAAAACTCCTTGTCGTGTTTACTTTATAGTTTAGTCTCTTCTATTGCATTACCAGTGTATCCTCAACCTTGTCCCTTATTACATAGTGGAATATCACATCTCATAAATTGGTATCAGAGCGGTACTTTATATCTTAATAACATCAAGAAAGGATCCTGCAATGATGGCAGCCCTACCAAGCTTAGAAGAAGGACAATCTACTACATGTCTCCCTCGTTTTAATAGATAGTACTACATGTAGTGGAAGACTAGAATGTATGATTATACTATAAAAGATGACAATGAACTATAGGAAATAACTTTTGATGGACCTTATTTTCCCATTAAGGATATCAATGAAGGAGAGATAACTAGGGTGGTTCCTAAAAAAAAAAGAGAATATGATGAAGCTAGAAGAAAGAAAATAGGAAAATAACCATTAGGCCAAGAATATACTAGTTTGTGGAATTGGTGTTCATGAATACAACAGGATCTCAGCATTTGAAACAACCAAGGAGATCTGGGACTGTCTGAATACAACCCATGAAGGAAACATCCAAGTGAAAGAATCAAAGGTGGACATGCTCACTACTCAATATGAAACCTTAAACATGAAAGAAGGAGAGAACATTAATGAGATGCACACCAGTTTCACTTCCATCACCAATGAGCTCCGATGTTTTGATGAAACTATTCATCCAAGCAAGAAGGTTCGTAAAATTCACCGAGTCCTTCCCAAGTCATGGTAAAGCAAAGTAAATGCTATTACTGAAGCTAGGAACCTGAACACTCTTACCATGGACGAGCTGATTGAGAATCTTCAAATATACGAACTAAAAAAGCAACACAAAAATTCCAAAAAGGACTAAAGGAAAGGCAAATTCTTGGAACTAAAACCATCACTAAGTCACCTATCAAAATATTATGAGGAAATGGCCTATCTTACTATCAGATTTCAGAAAATAGTCAAAAAGCATGGAGGGTTTCTGAGGAAGCAAAACTCTAGTCAATAAGCAAATTCCACTGATTTGGGTCACAAGTTGTAACACCACGAATTCAAAAAGACCAAATAGCAGCTTTGCAGATGTTGCAGGTGCCAAACCACGCCGGCCACCCACGGAATGTCGATAGGACCACGGACCATAGGTGTGGTCCATGGATAGCCTGCCTAGCTATGGTCTGAGAGCCAATAACTACGGCCAGACCTATGGACCATAGGTCATACCACGGTTCGTTATCAGGGTCTGTGGTACGAAGCCCCAAATCAGAGTCTTTGATGACCAAATGATGATCCACCAGGACGAGTCGTGGGTCAGACGACGGTCCATCGACTGGGTCCATCAGTGGTCGCTTGTCACTTAATTTTTAGGGTTAGTTGGGTCTTTTCCTAATTAATTAGTTCCTATACTACGTCATTTTGTCAAGAAATCAAAAGGAAAGCTATAAAAATATCTTGTTTTTCCTTTTTGAGAAATTCAAATCTCTATACATTTACTTTCAACCATGGAAACCATGTTAAATCTACCATATATGTTGACACAATTTTTCTCTGCTAAGATAGAAACAAGATGAATCTCATGATATTCAAGTAGGTTAGTATTACTTTACATCTCGTCGGAATCTACACCAAAAACAATATATAAATCTACCATATATGATTAAGTTCATATTCTCTTGTGTCGTCATTACCTCTATAGATAATGAAATAGCAAATTATTGATCATTTGAATGGAAGATATACAGAACCAACAAACAACAACATACCAAGTGTAATCCCATAAGTGAGTCAGGGAGGGTAGAGTGTACGTAGAACTTACCACTAACTTGAGGGGTAAAGAGGCTATTTCTGATACACACTTGGCTCAACAAAAAAAAAGCAGATCCAAGAAAGGGAAGATTTAGAAAACTAACAACAACATCATATCTAGTAAAATCCCACAAGTGAGGTATGGGTAGGGGTATAGTGTCTATAGACCTTACCCTACTTTGGGAGGTAGAGAGGTCATTTCTGATTGACCCTCAACTCAAGGAAAAACATATCAAAGCAGATCGAAAAAGGAAAGCTTTACTGAACCATGCCAAAATATCTTAAAGGGAAAGACATGAAAGATCTTACTTTTTCCCTTCAAAGAACTAATCAAATCTCTAAAAATTAACTTTCCTAAACACATAGCATGTTAATGAAGAGTACCAAAAAACGTCAGCACAACTAACAAAACTTGATGATCACAAAGCACCAATCAAAGCAAACTTCTGATTGAAACAATCTACAATTATAAGTTGTATTACCTATGGAAATAAGAATTCAACCAAAGAGGAATCACACACATATATATACTTGAAATTATAGATTTATTCCTTTTTGGTTGAATGCTTGTTTTTATAGGTGATACAACTTATAACTGTAGATTGAGTCACTTAGAATTTTGCTTTGACTATGCTTTGTGATCATCAGATTTTGCTAGTTGTGCTAGCATTTTTTGGTACTCTTTGTTAACATACTTTTTGTTTAGGAAAGATAATTTTTAGAGATATAATTGGTTATTTGAAGGGAAAAAGCAAGATCTTTCATGGCTTTCCCTTTAAATTGTTTTGTCATGGTTAGGTAAAATTTCCTTTTTCGATTTGATATGCTTTTCTTTGAGTTGAGGGTCAATGAGAAATGACCTCTCTGCCTCCCAAGGTAGGGTAAAGGTCTATAGACACTCTACCCTCCCCATACCTCACTTATGGGATTTCGCTGGATATGCAGTTGTTGTTGGTTTTGTAAATCTTCTCTTTCTCGATCTGCTTTATATGTTTTTCCTTGAGCCAAGTGTGTATTAGAATTAGTCTCTCTACCTGTCAAGGTAGGGGTAAGGTCTACGTGCACTCTACCGTCCCCAGACTCACTTGTGAGATTACACTTGGTATGTTGTTGTTTGTTGGTTTTGTAAATCTTCTATTCACATGATCAATAATTTGCTATTTCATGATGTATAAAGGTAATGACGACACAAGATAATGTGTATTCAATCACAAATGGTTGATTTATATGTTGTTTTTGGTGTAGATTCTGAAGAGATGCAAAGTGATACTGACCTACTTGATTATCATGAGATTCTGCTTGTTTCTATCTCAGGAGAGAAAATTGTGTCAACATTTTCTAGGGACTCTTCTTTAACATGGTTCTGTTGTTGAAAGATAATGTATAGAGAATTGAGTCTTTCTCAAAAAGGAAAAACATGAATTTGTATAGCTTTCCTTTTGATTTCTTGTCCAGGATATATTTTGTCTTAGCACAGTCCCTAGTTTTAAGTGGTTAGATTGTGTTACAAGGGAATATGAGTTTTTCCTTCTATTTTGATAACAAATGTTGGATTGACAAGATTTCTTTCCCATTATGTGGTACAAGGCCATAGATGTTTTTTTGTTTGCATCATTAACAAGAACAAAAGTATAGACTCAATGCTATATTTTTTTCATATCTTGAGATGAATAGTTTTTTTATTTGTACTGTTCTTTCTTATTACAAAACCTTCAGTACGATAGAAAAGGTAAAGAATGCAAATGCTCTCATAATATGCTTCGTATCTCTGGGGACTTCTCAGGTAGTATACCAAATGTATCTTCATGTTTGTTCCTTTTACTAGTCCCTCATTACTTTTCTTAGTATCCATAACTGATTTAAAAGAATGTGTGTTGCCGTGATTGTTTTTTATTACTAAGTGTTATAGGGTACAAAAAATCTAATTTTAGATTCCCGATATTTATGGTAGTTTTTGGTCATATATTGACTCTTCTCCGTTTTCTTAATCCTCTTGATGAGCTTACCTTTTTCATGTTAAAGCTTTCATTATTGATCCAAAAGAAAACGAACATCGATCAGACATGCAATAACCCCTTTTAGACTAAGGAGGAGGATAAATTTTTTAAGAATACTCTTACGACCAACGAGGATATCAACAACCAATTGCAGGAAATGACCAAAGCATTTCCTCGGAGAATGGTGAAATGCAAAACCAGAATTCAAAAGAATATGTAGAATGGTGAAATGGGTCTTCTTGGACAAAATAGGAACACATGTCAGTTTGCAGTACAATTCTTGAGGACGACATTAATAATCTGAATTGATGTTCATTTCATTTCTTGTAATTGATTGCACATCTTACATTTTTACTAAAACATAATTTCAAAATTTCTTATTTCTCAATGACCACGTTGATGTGCTTCTAAACATCTCATATATTATTATATTTCTAGGTGGATAGAGTACATCTTCATAGGTGTATTTGGTCTTAACTGCATCACCAATATAATACAAAATATTAATTCCAACTACTGAGATCTACAATATTTTCCGATTAAATATGTAGATTTTTACTTTTTTTAATTGTCAATGGCTAGGCTTGCTTTCATGAGAAGTGGATGAGTATTTGTAAGACCAAATATTTGTAAGATCATAATTTTGAAATGAATGAGTATTTGTAAGACCAAAACATTATCTTTTTCAACTTTCTCACAGGCTCCATCTTTGAGCTTAACCCATCTCCCAAATTATTCTTCTCTACTCCTCACCGACCAACATTGCACTTTCACAGAGTCAAAACCCAGAACAATTCACTTTCGTTTAACCCCATCTCACCCGCCAACTGTTCCATACAATTCCTCAACCAACAATTGTCCTTTGGAACACAATTATCATTGGGTTTATCTGTAATAACATGCTCCATGAAGCAATTTCATTCTATTCTCGATTGAAACATGTGGTTTCATCCGTATGTGATCAGTATACTTATTCCTATGTTATCAAGGCTTGCGTGGAGACCAAATGGATTCTTTTAGGTAATGTTGTTCAGTGAAATACTCTGCGTTCTGGGATCCGTTCTAGTAGGATTGTTAGTAATTCTTTGTTGAAAATGTACTCTGCTACCTGTCTTACATTGGACAATGGTTCTGATTGTGATTTAGTTGAAAGGGTGTTTAGAACTATGCATAAAAGAAATGTTGTTGCGTGGAATACTATGTTTTCATGGTATGTGAAAAGGAAGAGGTTTTCGAAAGCAGTGAAGTATTTTGTTATGATGATGAGATTAGGCATTAAGCCAATTGTTGTTAGTTTTACTAATGTTTTTCTTGCCGATCAATACAATATCATTACTCATACCAAAACTTACAAACTCATCTTTTTGAAGATCGAAGAAATTCCTGTATCAGAAATAGGGGATTTTAGAGTTGCTGATGTGACATTTGTATTTGCTCTGATGGCAACTTCACAGTTGCATCACAAGTTATTTCACTTAATGCTATGATAGCCACATATTCTAGGTGTAACCATTTTGACAATTCATTTAATGTTTTTAATGGCATGAAGGAAAGAGATATAGTGTCATGGAAAACCATAGTGTCTGCTTTGGTACAAAATGAACTGGATAATGAGGATTTGATGCTTCTATATGAGATGAAAAAGCTATGGGTTGCAATTGATGATATAACAATTACCATCCTACTTTTTGCGGCATCAAATCTTAGGGACAGGGAAATTGGTAAACAGACCCATGCTTATCTTCTGAGGCACAATATTCAATTTGAAGGCATGGAGAGTAACCTGATAGACATGTATGCCAAATCTAATATGATTAGAGAAGAACAAGCAATATTCCAGTGGAATGCTAAGATTGCTGGAAACACACAAAATGGATTAATTGAACAACCCTTTGCTGTCTTCAAGGAGATGCTTGAGCAGAATGTGAAGCCAAATGATGTGACCTTAGCTTCAATCCTACAATCATGCAGCCAGTCAAGAAGTATAGCAATAGGCAAGCAACTACATTATTTTGCAATTCACAATTTGTTTGAGAACAATGTTTATATTGTTTCTGCTTTGGTAGACATGTATTCAAAATCAAGAATCATTGATTATGCTGAAAGTGTTTTCTAAAATCTCCTGAGAAGAACTCTGTGACATATACAAATATGAGTTTGGGGTACGGCCTTCATGGGATGGGTAGGAAAGCTATAACACTGTTCTACTATGTGCGGCAGAATAGTTTAGAACCAGATGTTGTTACCTTTGTAGCAGTCCTGTCTACTTGCAACTACATCGGATTGGTTGATTCAGGCCTTCAAATATTTGAGCTGATAGGTGAAGAATACGGGATTTAGCCGTTAGCAGAGCACTATGCTTGTGTGGTTGACATGTTAGGAAGAGTTGGACGGTTGGATGAAGCTCATAATTTTACTAAAAAGTTGGGTGTTGAGGGTAATGTCTTGAGAACATAGGGATCACTCTTTGAAGCCTGCAGACTGCATAGAAATTTTTAATTGCGGAAAATTATTTCCAGTAAGCTGCTTGAATTAGAGGGGAGTGATGGAATTTCTGGTTATCATGTTTGCTTTTAAATATATATATGCAGAGGAAGGAAACTGGCAGTCTGTAGATAACGTTAGAAGAGGAATGCGCCAAATGGGATTGTCAAAGGTGGTTGGATGTAGTTGGATTGATACTTCTAGATATCCACACTGTTTTGTATCTAAAGATAAGAAGCATCCTCAGTACTGCATGATATGTTGGGATATTTAACCATCAATATGAAGGATGCTGGCTATCCAAAACTTGAACTAACAGAAGAGTGGATCTTTGGGCTAGAAGAATAAAAATCTATTAGTTCTCCCGCTATGTTGTTGTTCTGTGACTATGTACCTTTGTATTCATGACATTTTTGGACAGAATTTTGCTAGAGTTAATATAATCGTAGTTTATCAATGACCAGCTGCCTTTGAAATTTGAGGTAATTAAGTTGTGTTTTAGCTTTTTTTAGTTAAGTTTTTTCTTCTGAATTATGCCTTTTTAGTTTGAAAAGATACTAAGAAGTAGGATATTCAGTTAGTGAAATGTATCCATATTTTTTTTGGTAACTGTATTTATTATTACTAGATTTGCAATATATACAATGTTGGAAACTCTGGATGTGGACAACTTCCACTCTCAGAGTCCAGCTAATTGAAAAGATCCTTCCTGTTAGTACCTATTCTAAGGATAAATGTTAAGTGTGTGCATAAAACCTATAAACCTAGGTATCATACTAGCTCTACAATGTATGCTTTGGATGATTACTCTAGTTATCATCTCTGTGTTCCTCTCCCATTTTTGAAAAATCCTGTAGTTCCTTTCTTGCCAAATGTAGTAGATTGCTGCAACGAAGGTCATTCTGTAGATCTCTGCTTGTATAGTTTTGCTTGAAGTTCAGCCCATGTCAGTTCCTCAGTCCATCCATTATTAACTCTATTAATTGATAGCCAATTCATGAGCTTTTGCCACAACCTTCTTGAGAATATACAGTTAAAGAATAAATGTTGATGAGTTTCATTTGCTTCCTTGCAGAGTAGACATAAGATATCATTTGTGATCCCCCATTTTTTCAGTCTATCTCTAGTGTATAATCTTCTATTTATAGCCAAGTACCGTGCAAAGATCTATTTAGGACTTCCTTGATTATTGCAAGTCATTCGCCTCTAGGGAACCTTGATATAATTACCAATTAGCTTCTTATACATTGCTTTGACACTAAAATCATTTGTCTCCATGTTTTCTGCAATTTGCAAACCCTTCTCTTCAAGTAAATGTCCTGCCTGTATAATTTTCCTCACTATCCAAGAAGCCTGGTTTGCTCTTACTTCCCATGGTTTTCTACCTCTGAGGTAAAAGGTATGAACCCATACAATCCATAGTTTATCTTTCTTCTTGTTTAGATCCCACATGTGCTTTAGTATAGCTGCTTTATTCCACATGTAGATATCAGTAACATTAAGTACTCCTGCTACTTTTGGCCAACAGAGTGTGTCCCATTCAATGAGTGCCTTCACTCACCATTCCATAAAAACCTTTTACACATTGTTTCAACTCTTTTCAGTACTTGTTTTGGTAGCAAAAAGATTTGTGTCTAGAAAGCTTGCATAGATGTTAGCACACTATTTACCAATTGCAACCTCCCTGCATATGACAAGAATTTGACAGTCCATTTATGCCCATGAACTTGTCTATTAATAGTTGGCATTGCCCTACTGACAGTTTCCTTGAGCTCAAAGGTACTCCAAGGTATATAAAAGGAAGTAAGCCTTTTACAAAACCTATATGCTATAGAATTAATTGTTGCATATCTTCTGACACACCTCCAAAGTACACACAACTCTTGGCCTGATTTGCTATGAGTTCAGGCACCTTTGCGATTTGTTGGAAACACTCATACAAGAGGGTAGTTGATGTTACATCTCCTCTACTAAATAGCAAGAGATCATCAGGAAAGCTAAGTTGTATGATGTGTTGTCTGTGACATCTATGATGGTACTTAAAATTTGGATTTCCTCTCAATGTTTTCAGCATTCTTGTGAGGTAATCCATAGCAAGGATAAACAAATAAGGGGACAGAGGATCCCCTTGTCTCATCCCTCTCTTTTCTTTGAAAGGTGCACTAGGACATCCATTAATCATTATAGAATAAGAAATAGTCCTAACACAGCTCATTATCCATCCTAGGAACTTTTGAGGGACCTACATACCAGCTAATACCTCCTTCAGAAAATGCCACTCCAAAGAGTCATAGGCCTTCTGCATATCTATCTTGAACATACATCTTGGTGAGATCCCTTTTCTACCATACCCTTTTACCAGTTCATGGCTAAGAAGCACACTATCAGTCAACATTTTACCAGCTACAAAAGCAGCCTGTCCTAGATCAACTAGATAATTCATCACACTATGAAGTTTATTTGTGAGCATCTTGAAATGATCTTTTACAAAGTAGTGCAGCAAGAAATATGCCTATATTCTTTTATGGAGGTGAGATGTTTCACCGTTGGAATTAGTGTGACAGAGGTTCTATTTATAGGGGCATACATCTTAGTAGTTTGGAAAAATTGTAGAACATCTGTTGTTACCTCCTCCCCTATGCTTAGCCAAGCTTTTTTGAAGAAGTAAGAATTGAAACAATCCTCTCCTGATGCTTTTGAATCCCCGATGCTCATAAGTGTTGCCTTCACATCAGTTTCCTTGAATGGTAGAATGAGGAACAATTATTGTTCTCTTGTAAGTATTGGTCCATCTTTTAGCATTTCAGGTTGTGTAGCTTGCATGTGGTTGTTACATTGTCCTAACAGTTTTTTATAAAAACCCACAGCCTTTTTGGTAATATATGTTGCTTCCCTAATAACAGTGGCATCCTCTGTTGTTAGCATGGTGATATGATTCTGAGCCTTCCTACCTTTCATACTAGCAAAGAAATAAGCATTGTTATCATCCCCCAGTTTGAGCCATTGTACTCTGGACTTCTGCTTATATATATTCTCCTCAATCATACTTCACTATGCCAATTTTCCTCTCAGTATTTTCTCCTCATCAATACTGCCTTGTGGAATTGGACCTGCTTTCATACTCCTTTGTTTCTCTATGAGCTCTCTTCTGATTTCTTGCACTTTCTCAGAAACACCCATAAACTCTTTTTTGTTTAATTGTTGCATCTCTTTCCTTACCCTTTTTAGATTTCAACATACCCCTTTCATGCCTCCACCTAATATTTGCCAGCTATCTTTTACCCTGCTCCTGAATTCTGGATGTTGTCCTACACAATTATAGAATCTAAAAGGTCTCTTTCTTGTATCCCTTTGTTCCTCTATTATCAAGCCTATAAGAGAATGAGCTGAAAACAAAGGTTCCATAGCAATGACATGTTGTGTTGCCATTTTGTTCACCCATTCATCATTAACTATAGCTTTGTCTATTCTGCTATATACATGCCTATTAGTCTACGTGAAGTTCCTTCCTCCTATCTGCGGTTTGACTAGATTAGAATCAGTCACACATTCTTTGAAATCTCTTGTTTCTGCATCTTGAACTTGGCTTCCAACTATTCGATCTTTCTGTGCTAGTATAGAGTTAAAAATCCCCCATAATCAACCATGGCTCATTAATTTGACTACTCATCTGATGAATTGTTGTCCATAATGGAATCCTGGTACTTATAGTATGAAGTCCATACACAGTAGTAAACTGAAACTCTGTATTATTTATATCCACCAAACCATGTATATATTGTTCTTCATCTGCCATCTTTGTGAAGCTTATTTTCTTGGAATTCCAGATCATACATAACCTTCCTTTTACATTTGTGTTGGCATTTGTGCACCACTCCCAGCCTGGTAAGCTTTTATTAATAATAAGTTATTCTCTATCTTGCCGTACTCTATGTTCACATATTACTATTAAACTCACTTTATTCCTTCTAACAAACAATCTCAGCTCCTTCTGTTTCATCTCCTCGTTAAATCCCTTCACATTCCATGTGACTATCGTAAATGTGATGTTTCTATAGATGTCATCTCCATTCCTCCACTTACTTCTCCATTCATTTGTCCTTCCTCATAGATCAATACCCTTGGTTCAGGGTCCTGTCCTCCTCTTGTAGCTTGACTGTTCCTAGATTCTCTTCTGATAGAAGTTCTATGTCTAATAGTCTGCCATTCTCCTTGTCCCTGTGATGTTTCATCCTTCTCATGGATCAATTTCTCTTGCTGCTTATCCTCAACCTAGATTTTTCTAATGCCTTGTTCCTTGTTTGTGGTGGGTATCCATTCTTTCCTCTATCCTTGTCCCTTCCCTTTCTTCTGAACCTGTATAGTTGCAGTTGGTTTGTCCACACATGAGTGCCCCACTTGTAGACATTTCTGGCAAAACATTGGCTTCCATTCATACCTAACTTTCTGCTCCACTATTCTTCCTTTTGGGTACTTTATTTTAATCACCTTTGCCAGGGGTCTAGTTACATCTACTTCCACTAAAATTCTGGCAAAAGAGATTCTACTGGTTTGAGTTGTACATTCATCTGCATACAAGGGATTCCCCAAACTACTACCTATTTTACTCAAGACAACTTAATTCCAACAATT